ATGGGTATATGTACTGAATATATCACATGGGTATATGTACTGGATATATCATATGGGTATATGTACTGGATATATTATATGGGTATATGTACTGAATATATCGTATGGGTATATGTACTGAATATATCGTATGGGTATATGTACTGAATATATCATATGGGTATATGTACTGGATATATTATATGGGTAAGGTGTACTGGGTATTACACACGCAACTCGTTAACTCTACCAAACATAGACTGACTCGATTACCCGTTAACTCTCTTATCCACCTACTCTCTTATCCACCTACTCGTTTATCCACCTACTCGTTTATCCACTTTTACTCGGTTTTCGATCCAGATTTGTTGCTGTTTCTGGTATGAAATGTTATGGTGCTTTGCGGATTGCCAAATTTTGAATTGTGAGACACTTTGTTCAAGGACGGACATACATTTCTGCGCACGTAACGCTTTTCCAAGTGGCTGGGAATCATGCCCACACTCGTGGAAAATTCCTGCTGATGACGTCAGTGACAGTTGGACAGACCGGGCTTTCCAGGGATTATTTTCCTCCAGTTTGGAACAAACTTGTGGATTTTTTGTCCCGAGAGGTTGGGGGGGGGGGGGCAACAGATGATGGGAACAGGATGTAGAAACCTTGTTAGGAACCTAAACAATCCAGACAATAATTTGTGCCAAGTTCCACAGAAATACAACGGAGAACTGCAATTATAACAGCGATGGAACGTTTCAATAAATCGAGTCTAATACTGAAAAATACAAACATCTCAATGGCTACCAAAAAGAACAGTGGTAAGATCTATGCGTGGTCAACCCTTCTGTACAGTACAGCTGTGACGGTAAATGTTGGACAATAACCGAAATGAATTTAGTGAAAATAAACTAGAAACAACAGAAATGTGGTTTCTTGGGAGATTGTTGAGAATTATTTATCTAGTTGGTCTCAGTGCACCTGTTTATTTATCAGTTTGTGAAATCTGTCCTTCAGTACACATGTTTATTGATCCATCTGTCCTTCAGTTCACATGTTTATTTATCCATCTTAATAGCCATCTGTCCTTCAGTGCACATGACTGTTCCCGTTCAGCCTCCTAGCACTGACCTTGGAATGTCCCAGTTGGCCCGCCCAAGCTGTGACCTTTGACTCGCGGACATTGATAAGCCGAGGGACCAGCACGTCATGCC